GTCTTTGCTAGACCACCTGGTATAAGCCTGGATGTGCAGGGGGAAGTAGATGAGGTTTTGGAGTCTTGAGCCTTGGGTTGCGCTTTAAAAAACCCAAAGCCTCGTGAGTGCTACCAGACTTGCGTCTGACACGGCAGGTAAGTTTGGTAGATAACGGGGATTGACCGAGCCAACACCCTTGCTTTTGCTGCTATCTCAAGTTCTAATAAAACGGTTAAACACGGGTGACTGCTTTGCTGAGATTCAGGTACCCGTCTTCCTGTTAGCTGCTGCTGCCGCTCACGGAGGCGGTTTTGTCCTCTCCGAGTCCCCAGCCCTCGGTGGCAGCGTAACGTGAAGACTGCTGTCCCTACAGCCTGAACTGGGACGTGTGCCTCACGGAGAGCATACTTTAATCGGGGATATGTCGTTTTAACACAGACGTTCATGTCAAAAACTGCATTTTCAAAGTTAAATCCCCAAGTTACATGTAACTATACATACGGTTTTAAGTCCTTGAGCTTTACGTCCTCCTCTGTTCCCGGAGATGCTGTTACAGTGCTCCCGTGCGGGATGCTGGTGAAACCTGTGTGCCATACGTGATGCTTTTGAGGCAAAAGCCGTGCAGATTGGCTAAAAAGGCTGGTGTGCTCATGTGTTCATGCCCATTTCTCCTACAAAGTGAAGATATGTATTAACTAATGTGTTCTCTGTGAACTGGACAGAATCTGCACTGAAACAAAATAAAGCGTCTTTCAAGCTCAGAGCTGCAGATGGTCACTGCGTATCATGTGTGTGCAATACCTCAAGGAATTGTATTTGCTAAGCAGTTTCTGGTGTGTCTGAGGCTCTGGTCTTCACCGGTTTGGGAAATGGAATTTTGAGGATTTCCATCAGAGTTTCAGTTCTGCCTCAGCTGGGCTTCAGGCACTTCAGGTAGTCACAGCCTGTGATGTCCTAGTTTCCCCTGTTGTCCCTCAGTGCGTCCATACAGAAGGGGGTTTCCAGCTTCAGAGGAGTACAAATACATTAGAAAAGTGACTCAATTATTCTGTGGTAACGCTTCATGTACGCTGCAGTTCAGTTGCCTGGGAAATGAGACGCTGTCAAGTGATTTGTGTCAGTGGTAAGGTGGGATTTCGGGTGTGGGTAGGAGGTGGTCTCCTTGGACAGGATCCCAAAGCACGGACGGAGCTGCTGCCCTGTGTTAATCTCTGAATAAGATCTGGAGTTCCCTTGCAGTGGGTCTTGTTTTCTCCTGCTGGCAAAGCAGCAGCAGGAAGGCTGTGGAGAGCTGACGGTAACCATTGCCTTCCTCTCGGGAGGAGAGAGCTGCCGTAGACACAGCGTGAGAAAAGCTGTTTCCTAAGACAGCAGAAAAGGATAGGGGAAGAAATGCTGGTGGGTGGTAGCTTTTGGCTTCCCCCCTGCCCTCCCTGGTCCTGTACTTCCAAACAGTTTGCTGTTTTGGCTTTTTCTCTCAACTTTGGCCCCTGGTCTTTGTTTCTTCTCTTTCCCCCATTGCTTGGTGAGTTCCTCTTTCACTCTGGGGAGTGAGTTGTGCCGAATTCCAACCTTGGGTGCTTCCGCTCCTGCCTTTTTAGTACAAACCTCCTTTTTCTCTCTGTTTTACTGTCGACTCCAGTTTGACTCTCCATTACGCTGCCCTCGGAGTCTCTTTCCCCGCGGTGTGGATTCCCTGCCGATGCCTCGAGGAGCCTCCCCTTCTTCGCGTCAGTGCTAGCTGCTGCGGTGGCTCCGCTGAAGCAGCTGCCCGCCCGCTGCACCGTACGACGCGAGGCGTGCGGCGACGAACAGGCACGGGTGCCGATTTACCTCGAAGCTGCCCTTGGCCTGCTCCAGAAGCAAGCTGTGGCCCGTGCAGCTGGGAGCACTTCCAGCGCGGGTCGTGGTTTTGCCAGCTCTCTAGTGTAAGTAGATCTTGTTCCTGAGCCTGTGCTCTTAAGGAGCTGCTGTTTCTTACTCAACCTTTGCCTACAGTGAGAGCATTGTGCACAAGAGCAGTTTTCCCTTTGGGGCTCCTCTGCTTTATAAAAAAGGGTTGAGTTTGTGTGTACCTTCTCTATTTGGCCATTTATTTTCATGGAATTTGTGGCAGCTTAAATTATTTGGACGGGTTTTTTTACTTCTATTTAATTTGACTAAAAGGGACAAGTGGGAAAAGAAGGAAGCATGGATACAGTGTGATCACATAAGCTGTTTCCCTGGCAGCAGGCTAAGATTTTAGGTTTTCATATTTGTTTTCTTGACTCCCAATATATCATTCCATTCCTTCCCATCTAGTGCATCTGATGGCTGCTCAGAAGGGATTTTCCATCATCTAACGCACTAGTCCTTCAGGATTTATCATGTGTTGCCCCGTCCTTGTGTACATTTATTTAAATCCTGGGGTTTGGGGGTATTTTGCTCACCTTGTTCTGGGACTTATCTTGAAAGTAGGTGTTAAAAGAAGACTTTGGTGGTTGTAAAGTGAAATGACAGTTCCTAAGCTTTCTTTGCCACTGCCAGGATGTCTTTACAGGTCCTGGTTTCCTCTCTGTTCAAATGAAACCAAATCATGTCTCAACCAGCTTTTAAAATCCTGCTCTGACTCCTCCAGCTCCTGAGGACCTCAGTCACTTCTGAAAAGAAGATTTAGCCAGGTCATATATGTTTTGTAATGCTAAACAGGACCACGCCTACACCAGTAAAACTCTCGGACCTTATATTCAGCGGAGTTGATGGAGGAACTTAGCAAAACCAGACAGTTTTCTCCAAGCAGCAATCCCAGTAACCCACCTTAGCTATGACAGTGGGCGGAGCCATTGATGAAAAACTCCAAAACTTGTTCTAAGGGAGCTTCCTCTCCTGGAAAGGTCTGAGATTCCCGAAGCCGTTAATCTTATGCAACGCTCCTAATGACATTTTGGAAAGATTTCCTATGGGTACGTGCTTTGTTGCTCCCTTCTACCCTGGTGAAATTGAAGTTGGCCGTGGGCCAGCGGCTGGGAGGACTTGCTGCCTCTCGGGTGATGAGGGACCTGCTCTCCATCCAGGGCCGTCAGGGACGTGACAGACCTGAGCATCTTCCCCCGGAGGTTGCTCTCCCAGTGGTCCCATCCCGTGTGTGCCATGGACATCTTGGGGTTCGAAGA